AGAACCATTTGGTGGGGAAGTTATTTTTAGAAATTAAAAAGGGTTCGGATTTCCAGGAAACAAATACTCTACTAATCAAATAAAAAAAATTTAAAGAAATTTCTAATAATATTCTTCCTATTTCTACGCCGAAGCGTTCATTAACAACATGCTCATCACAATCACTTTCTAGTGACAGAGTTTACACTAGATGTCGTTGTGAAACCCCATCCAAAGTTAGTACTGAAGAGTGTTCTAGTCCTCATGAGTTCAGAGAAGGCAATCCTCAAATAGCATCGTCAACGCACCCCGGAATACAGGTTTCACCATCCCTCGTTCTTTGTGATACTAGCGTTTACGCGTGCATTCCTATAGCTCTTTGTCCCAAAGTTTTCCTAGCTGACCCGCGAGTATTTTGTGCTTCAATGGGTTCCACTTCTCCAGGGTTATTGACTGCTCTAAATTTTACAAACCAGCCTTTACAGCTAAATATGTCTACTCCTTCTGAGTTTTCCCAATACAATTCTTACTATGGTAGAGAGATAAATTCATCTTATTATGGAAATGGGATTCCCTCTGTAGTACAACCTCAGATATATACAGGGGAATACGCTGGCACGCAACTCAAAAATCCACCACCTCCTGGACCACCACCGAACAGAAGGAATACTTTACACTAACTTTTTTTGAGTAAAAAATATTTTGATTGTGCAAAATATAGAGCCTTTTTTTGGTAAAGGGATTTAAATTTAAATGAATAATATTAAAACGATTTAAAAAAGCTCAAAGACTATTTAAGATCAATGCTTTCTTTTTTATAATTAATAAAATTTAATATATTTTTTTATCCCTTGAATCTAGTATGAATTTAGTAATAACTATTTAAATTAAGAAATTCCAAAAAAAGTACTTCGTGTTTTAAAGGTTTTCTTTTTTTTTTTTTGCAACACAAACTTCAATTGTTTCAATTCACATTTTTATCCAGCTTTAAATAATTAGTAATAATTTATTGCAATAAAGCTTATATTAAAACGAAATATATTCTATTTCATACGGATCTATCTGTTGTGCCCATTATCATGGAAATACTTCCGACCTTTATCGCAAAGGCAATTTCTTCACGTATCGACACACACTATCCCCTTATTCACACAAAAGAGTTAGACTATGGAACATCTGGTATACGGACAAAAGGTGCTGTTTTACCGCCAGTTTCTGCACGTCTCATATTTATTGCAGTGCTTCGTTCCTGGTCATGTGGATTAAATTCTTCAAGCGAGCTTGTTAAAGAACGTGGAAGTAGCATTGGTTTTATTATCACTGCTTCACATAATCCATCAGATGATAATGGCTTCAAAATTATCGATTCAGACGGTGCGATGTTGAAATCTTCATGGGAGAAATGGTGTAAAAAAGCTGTTAATGCAAAATCCGGAGGTGATTTAATAAATGTACTTAAAGAATGCATTACTGAGGAGAATATTACTTTTCCTTCAAAAATTCCGAGTTCTTATGGATCTATCTTGTTTGGTCGAGATACAAGGGAGACAGGATTGTGTATTTTTGATTCAGCAAAAGATATGCTTGATATTTTTTTAAAGGTTCCTTACACAGACTACGGCATTGTAACAACACCCGAGTTGCATTATATTGTATGTAAGTTTAATCTGGAGCTTCAAAAAGCAATACCGGCAGCGATTAACATTGATTCATACCACCAGTGTATTTTAAATGCTTTTGATCGTCTTATGAGTCTACGTTTAAATGGAGCGCCTATAAATCAACACAACCTCGTCATCGATACCTCCAATGGAGTAGGTTATCATGGCATGAAGCGTCTTATTTCTTTTTCTGAGAGTATTAGTGATCATGATATCCTAAAAAAATATTTCAATATTATTTTGCTAAACACAAATGTCGAACAAAGTAATAAATTAAATGATCTATGCGGTGCCGAATTTGTCCACAAAAAAGATAGTCCATCTGACGAAATGAATCAGTGGGCTGTTGTGAATCATAAAGAAAAAAATTATTCGCATTATTACAGTTTAGATGGGGACGCTGATCGTTTAATTGCACTCAACTACAATTCTTTGCCAAGCGAGAGAGGTAAGTGGTGGAACATTATCGATGGAGATCGCATATCTGTTCTTTATGCTTTACTTTTACACAAATGGTTAGGTGATGACGTTATGGAGTTGTTAGATGTTGGTATTGTTCTAACAGGATATTCCAACGGTGCCGTAACAAGGTTTATTGAGGAAACGCTAAAGATGAAGACGTATGTAACCGCGACAGGCGTGAAGAACTTGCACCCCGTTGCGCATAAGCTTGATATTGGGATTTATTTCGAAACAAATGGACATGGAACTGTGCTATTTCGTGATGGTCTTGAGAAGAAATTAGAGGGTAGAATATCAACTCAGAAGGCTGAATTTATTTATCTCATACTAAAGACTGTTCCTTTGCTGCTTTCTCAGGTTTGTGGAGATGCAATTGCAGATATATTAATGTGCGAAGTCGCTTTAGATGCGTTGCAATTGTCTCCTCTTCAGTGGATTCAAGTGTATGATGCTAGACCATCCATTCAATCTAGAATATCCTTACCGGATTCCTCCGTTATTACTACTACTAAGGTACAAACTCGCGTAATTACCCCTAAAGGGCTTCAAGATGAGATCGATGATATTATAAACTCTTTAGAACAGGAATTTCCTAGTAAAGATCGAGAACAAGGGATGACTCGTGCTTTTGTGCGTCCAAGTGGAACAGAACCGGTTGTTCGGATTTATGCTGAAACAAGTACCAAAAACACCTGTAAAGTGCTGGAAGAAAAGGTAAGAGCTGCAGTTATCAAATATTGTTCATAAATATATTGTCCTATACGTATTTTAGGCGAAGTAGTTGAAAGGCCCTATATATATATATATATATT